TAATCATGGAATAATATAAGCTGTAAAACATAACACTTATCACGCCTCTTGTAATTCAATCATTGTACAACATATCTTTTTCTCATTTACCAGCCTACTAGTATCCGTGGGGGTCCATAGGGGTCCCGCTACCCGTTAACCTTTAACATTCATAATCAGTTTCCAGGGCCGTCCCCATACCCCGTCCGGTATGGGCGCCAAAACCATAAACCTCAATACCCCGTTCGGTATGAGGGTGAAACGGGCCGTCCCCATACCCCGTCCGGTATGGGCGCCAAAACCATAAGATCTCCATACCCCGTCCGGCATGTGAGACCACAATCCCGGTAGGGTTCCCTACGGACCCGGTCCGTCCACCATCTCCCAGGATATCTAGTCAGGCTGACCCCCATAATACAATTATCAGTCTACACAATCTTTCATTTTCCTTTTCCTCAGTCAGCATCATCAATTCACATTTAAACAAGCAAATCGTAATTCATGCCAAACAGATAACATACAGTATCAGTTTTTCAGTCATTCAACCCATAATTAATAAAAACGTAGTATATGCACACAAATCTGTAAAATGAACACATCAAACCTCATTTTGCATTTAAAGCTGTAAACAGGCCAAATAACAGTAAATCACCAATCACACTAGACTCGGGCTCCATTATCCACCTTAAGCAATTTCACACATTCGTTAATTCAAGAAATACCGTTTTATCATTTTGAACTTTAATACCGTGATAGGAAATAGGGTGAGGGGTCCTTACTCGTTTCGGGGTCCGAACACGGCTTCACAGTGCGCTTGCAGGCTGTCCCTAATTTTCCCTGAATTTTCCTCGGGGAACTGAAATTTTGATCTCGCTTCCGCATTTGATATATTTAAATACTCATTTCATTTTAATATTTCCGGGGCCGTCACAGTTGGTATCAGAGCCGCGTTTCCTCGGACCCATCCCTTACACTAAAGTCCTTTAAAGAAATACTCACCGATTGGTCGTTACTCAACCATTCCTTGTAAATGCAGGTACACAGAAATGAGGAGAGGAAGGCCTCCACTAAACCGAGCGGCCCAAGATAATTCACTTCGGGAGGATTTGGACAGATTATATGAGATGGTGGAAGCTCTCGTAGCTGCCCCGCGAAGGCAAGAGGAGAGAAGGGAGTTACCCGGACCTCCTCCGCTAGCGCAGGTTGAGCCCCCGCTACAGCAGGCTGATCCCGAGCCACCCCGGCAGGAGCCTATTCCTCCACAGCACCACCCGGCACCACAGCCGCGGTACGACCTGGTACCACAGCCACAGTACCAACAGGTGCCGCCACAGCACATTCCAGTGCCCCCACCACATCAGCAGGCGCCACCACAGGGTCCCCCAGTTCACCCTCAGCCGGTCCCAGTCCCTCTACCTCGGGACCCCGCTCCCTCCTTGATCGACCCCGGCTTCATAGAGAGGTACAGGAGACTGAACCCTTCTACTTTTTCAGGGGGATCCTCTTTCGAAGAGGCCCAATATTGGCTGGCAGAGACTGAGAGAGCCTTTGAGACCTTGGGGGTAATTCCTGAGCAGAGGGCTGCCATTGCCTCCTACATGCTGGTAGGGGAAGCGGTACGCTGGTGGGAGCTCAAGCGGGCCACCCTGCCTGTACCAGTTACTTGAGAGCAGTTCCTAGCGGCTTTCCATGCGGAGTATCTCCCTAAACACATCCAACATTTAAAGGAAATGGAATTTGTTCAATTGGTCCAGGGTAATATGACAGTGTCGGAGTATGCCCGCAAGTTCCTGGAGCTGGGCCGACATGCCCCGGAGACATTGTTGGATGAGGGCCGAAAGGCCAGGAAATTCCAGTGGGGCCTCCGCCCGGCGATCAGACAACACTTGTTGGTGATGGAGCTCGAGACATATTCAGCAGTCCTGGCAAAGGCGCAGATCATAGAAAGGAGCTTCGACACCCGCCCTCAACTAGCGGGAAGTTCCCGACCTTCAGCCCCGCTCCGCAGGCCAGCGCCTACCATGCCTGTCCAACCCAGTAAGAGACCCAGGCCTGCCGTTCAGGGCCCTCCTCAGGCTATGGGGGCAGCACGTGGGAAGATCTGCCAGTACTGCAGCAGGGATCATGGGGACCGACCCTGGTACCGCCTCAACAACACCTGTCGCATATGCGGCAGTGCCCAGCACTATGCGAGGGAGTGCCCTAGGAACCAGAATCAAGGGAGGCCTCCAATCCAGGGCAGAGTTTACAACCTTACCCAGAAGGATGCCGACGCAGACCCGGACGTGGTACATGGTATGTATACTATCTCTGGTCACATTGCTCATATTTTGTTTGATACTGGTGCATCACATTCCTTTATTTCACATGTTCTTGCTTCCAAAATTTGTGTATCACCTGATAGACTTGATTTATTATTGTTTGTATCCACCGCTGGGGGGGAGACATTGCTAGGAGAGGTTATCTACAGGGCATGTGCCGTGGAGATAGCAGATAGGAAATTGAGGGTAGACTTGATAGGGTTAGACACAGGGGATTTTGATGTAATCCTAGGAATGGATTAGCTAGCGGCGTATCACGCTACCATAGACTGCTTTAATAAAAAGATTGTATTTAATCCTCCCAACGAGGAGCCATTTACAAGTTAATAAAATTATTCGGTACTGATTCTCCCTAATGACAAATTCTTTTCTTCTTAATTCCCAGTGCGTTGATATTGTATTTTCCCTAACTAGGTAAACCCAAGAAGGAAGTTTGTATCCAAGAGATTCCAGTAGTCCGAGACTTTCCAGACGTATTCCCGGATGAACTGCCTGGTCTACCAGGGGACAGAGAGGTCGAGTTCACCATAGACTTACAGCTAGGAACCCAACCCATCTCGGTAGCTCCTTACCGAATGAGCCGCATCGAGATGGAAGAGCTAAGGAAACAAATCACTGAGCTACAAAACAGTGGCTTCATTAGACACAGCATTTTCCCATGGGGTGCCGGGGTTACTTTTGCAAAGAAATGGGATGGAACGTTGAGACTGTGTATTGATTATAGAAGGATAAACAAGGTAACAATTAAAAACAAGTATCCTCTTCCCCAAATTGATGACCTTTTTGATCAGTTGCAGGGTGCACAGGTCTTTTCTAAAATAGATCTACGATCAGGTTACCATCAGGTAAAAGTGAGAGCAGAAGACATCCCCAAGACGGCATTCCGGACCAGGTACGGACACTATGAGTTCCTGGTTATGCCGTTTGGGCTAACTAACGCCCCGGCCATCTTTATGGATCTAATGAACAGAATCTTCAAAGAGTTTTTGGATAAATTTGTCATCGTGTTCATCGATGATATCTTAGTCTACTCAAAGAGTAGAGAAGAACATGCTCATCATCTTACCCAAGTCCTCCAGGTACTCAGGGAAAAGAAGTTGTATGCAAAGTTGAGCAAGTGTGGATTTTGGCTCGAGCAAACCGCCTTCCTAGGACATGTTATATCGAAGGAAGGGGTGTCAGTGAACCCCGAAAAGGTTGAAGCGGTACTTGGATGGAAAAGGCTGACAACAGTTAAAGAAATTCGCAGTTTCCTAGGGATGGCGGGTTATTACCGCCGATTTGTCGAAGGGTTCTCCAGTCTAGCGGCCCCTCTAACCCGACTCACAAAGAAGAATGCAAAGTTTGATTGGAATGAGAACTGCGAAAGGAGTTTTTCAGAATTGAAGAAGCGACTGACTAGTGCACCCGTACTGGCTCTACCGAGTGGATCAGGAGGGTATACAGTTTATAGTGATGCCTCCTATCTGGGCCTGGGTTGTGTCCTGATGCAGCATGGAAAGGTTATAGCATATGGGTCTAGACAGCTAAAGAATCATGAGAAGAACTATCCTA